TTGTGCAAGATTTCCCGTTAAGGTGTTCAATCAATTACAAATCACGTGAGTTGAAGAGAAGCATACCACCTTGACGAGCTTAATATCAATTCCGCATATAATATGCCGAATTCTTGCCGTTTACTTAGCCGTAGTGAGATGCTGCGTGCAGATTTAAACTTACTGTTAATATTCCTTGTAATGGAGGATAAGAAAAAACGGAGACTATCATGCCACATTGTTGATAAAAGTGTGTAAAGTGATTGTCAAGAAACGGAGAGAGCAAAGGAGTCCTGTTTTTGCAATACAATGCAAGTAGCAAGGCGTGCCTCGGCCGATATTGGATTTGAAAAAATAAACCGCCCGCCAAACAGCATAGAATTAACCCTTCTCGATTACTTGCTGTTCTTCAATTCAAAGAAAAATCTCGGAGGACAAAAATTTTCAAGTGAAGAAGAAATGAAGGCGGCAGTAGATGAGCAATTCGAAGACAAAGGCGACGAATCATTTCTCATTGGGTTAAAAGCCCTTTTGATGAATGTAAGAAGTACATTGAAGTAGACGGAGATTACTAAGAAAAATAAATTTTTTTATACATTTATATCAGCTATTTGAATTTCTTAGGCTCAAAGATATTCAGCCTCCCTCGTAACTTGTTTCCAATCATGGAATGAGGTTCGTTCGAAATTCGTGTTGTCGTAAGTAGACTTCAAAACTGCAGCTATGGAAACGGCGAAATATGTCAAAAGCGATTTAATCCATAGGGAATTGCAATCCAAGGATTGTTTCCCGGGAAATGAATATTATGAAAATGGTAGCAAGTATGCTCCCACCTACATCCGAAATTGTTCAGAGGGTTCAACAGGACCACCACCCAACTTCTGTGAAAGTTTCAACAAGACTCCGCTCCTGCTCATAAGGCTAAGTTGCCACACACAACTATGCTCCGAACATAATTTCCACGGCTGGTTGGTTATCATGTAGCCCTGAACTCAGTCGATTGGACTATAAATTTTGATCCATTTTGGAGGCTATGGCTTCCACTATTCGACATTCTAATACTGTGTATTTGAACTGCGTCCCTGTCCGAGCATTGGGACATTTCCCATTGTATGGGGGTGCGTACTGCAATTGAGGTGTGGTCAAACCGACTGCATCGCTGCAGAAAGCTAAATGTAGGCTATTCAATAAGAATATGGTGTTCTAAAATTGTTTGCAAATAGGTTATACTAAAAATAGTACAAAATGTTATCAAACTGTTCACTTGTTGCCATTTTATTTGCTTAACTACTTGTATTAAAATATTTGACAGTGCCAAGTAAATATTTTTGTTTACAGAAGATTATAAAAATGTGCAATAGATATTCGAGGGCAATCTTCTATTAAAGCTATCACCATTCTGATGATAGAAGCCGCACGTGGTCCACATACCTCGTATTTTCCTCTACATATATGTTAGCGTTTTATTGCTAATAACAAAATTATGGTTCATTATGTTTTAAAAAAAAAAGCTGTGCGAAAGATGAAAACTTTTGGTACACATCTTAGGCTTGTCCAAGTCCATCTAAGTTCAATGTGTTTAAACAATTTTTTCCTTAGCTTATTCGATCGCAAACTTAATGCTATACAAAAAAGGCATTACAACAAATTATGTAGGTCTAATACTTTCGAAGATAAGGTAATTTTAATAAAAAAAATTATTAATTTATTTATAAGTTTTTTTTTACCTTTCATTTATGGGTGAAAAATAATTTATAAATTACTAATTATATAAGAAATTTAATTTCTCCCGATAAAAATCTATCTAAGAATTTTTTTTTATCCCATTTATCTGTAATGGTCCTGGGCGAGCCTAAGATATCGACCAACCTTTTTAATCTTTCGCTTAGATTTTTTTAGAGTATAATGAACCGAATTTTCGTGATTTGCAATAGAAATTCTAAAAAAGGGGATTTTCGGCCCGCGCTAATATATGTGAAGCAAACAGTTTGACGGAGTAAATATTTAAACCTTTAATAAAAGCTGTTTATATATAAAAAGTTTTCAGCACGTCAGGTTTTCTTTTATCACTCAATTTGGCGAACTCACAAACCGCTGAGATGACTTCATTTGCGCTTCAAACACTTGCTAACTTCTTATCTAAATTCTAATTTTGATTTTTGCATATGCCAGCGAATTATTGCTTCCACAAACTCACTGCTGGAAATACGCCTGACATGGCAAGAAAGTTTTATAGTAAGCGCTATAATCATAATAAAGTGAACGTGTAAAATGTCCAATGCCGCACTGTACTAACTGTATGAGTACATAAAAACTTCAGCTCTACGCTTTGGTGACTTTTTCTTTTAGCAATCAAATGACAAGTGCTCAAAAGAATTCCAAGCATATTTTAGAATGAGAGCTACATGTGCTGCTTTAACATTTCTTTTACACATACATAGGCGCCTTTATATTTGGACATCTCATTTAGCAATGGCATTTCGGTCTTTGGTGCAAGTTTATATGTATGTATGTATGTGTGCACCTTTACCATGACTGCGCCTCTAAGTGACGTGCCAAAAGCGGCGTGCTTGGCTGCATTTTCCATGACACCATAATGTACGAGTACTATTTTTGCATTTCTCTTTTCTGCTATATTCCATTTTCTATGACTCAATTGCAACGTTCTTAGCTGAGAATTTTATTTTAGACTTTGCTGAGATATACAAGATTTTGACTAAATCCAGGATAGCAATTTCAGTTGATGCTCGTAAGCATTTAGTCATACAAAAATACATATATACACGATATGAAGTTCGTTGCATTGTTAAAGTGTGTGAAAAACGTACGCATATTCGTTCTTGTGCTTGGGCATGGATACTTGCTCGTGCTCGTGCATACGTACGCTGCTACGTTCATATGTACGTATGTTCATCGGCAATAAAATCATCTCACAAGCTGTGCGTATTTTGGTGTGGCTTTGGCTTTAAATGAATTATGCGACATTTACTCTAAAGTATGCCGTTACATATCTACCGTCATCCCTTCGAATGCCCCTTGCACTTATGTACTTAACCGACGAAATCACCAACATCCATACGATCCACTTATACAACACACTGGCCTGAAGTGATTGTTGTATTTAACCCTTTCGACAACTTTCTCCTCTAGATGGTAGAAATTTTAGCCATTTGCTGTGCAAGTAAGCTGTACACATGTGTGTGTGTGTGTGTGTGTGTGTGTGTGTGCTTTTGTGTACGTAGTAGGTACATATAAACATAGCAAGTCTGAGCGTCAGCACTTCGGCGGCCTACCATTTAAAGTGGTTACGTATACGCTGTGGTGTACTCTACATAAAACAGTTCGGATTGTGTTTGCTTCACCTACTTCTTGCTCAGCAGCCAATTTGTCTTTCTAGCACATACATATGTATGTACATACACTCAAGTATTCACATAAGTAATTCGTCATATATATAGGCGCGTATATGGCTACATATGCACACAATCTTATATGTGCATGAAGGCTGCTTGTTAGAATAAATTAATTGAAAGCTTTCCCATACAAAATTGTGAATCCCAAATCATTCAGTAAATTTTTTGTTCTTGAAATGAAACGTTTTTAGCGGGGAAAGTATTTAAACATGTTGGATTGCTGGGGAGCGAAATGGCCGCTAAATCTATGCTTTAATCTTGATACTAAATAAAAGAAATGTCTTAAGCGGCAGTTTATGGAGAGATCACGATAAGTATAAGGATAAAAATTAGTATGAGTATGCAGATGAAGGAAAGGATTAAAGGCTTATGATGACAAGTAATTTTTAGCAAAAAAAAACCGACTTCAACTCTCATATAAAAAAAAAATATATAAATATATCTCATCATCCACTGAACGGATCTTAACCAGATTAGTACGGGACCACCTCTGAGATACTACCTTTCTGATGCAAAAAGAATTATCGAAATCGGTTGACGTGGTTCAAAGTTATGCGGTAACATACATACAAAAAAAAAATAAAAAATAAAAAAATAAAAAAAACATTCCGACGAACTGGAAGTCGGTTAAAAATAGGTAAAGAATAAAGATAAAGTAGAAGATAAAGTTAGAAATAAAGATAAGGAAAAAGTTCAATAGAAAAGATAAAGACAAAAAGTAATTTTTAAACAAAAAATAAAGCCGCCTCCAATTCTCATAGAAAAATTTCAGATTATGGTTAAATTCTTCATGATCTAATGATCGGATCTAAAAAGAATAGAGACAAAAATAGAGATCACCTCAGTTCACCTCATCTAATCTCATCTCACCTCATCTGATCTGATCTGCTCTGGTCTGATCTCATCTTATCGTGGCGCCTTAAAAGGTCCACCCTACTGTAGATAAATACATACAGACATATATGTATACACTTCCGTATGTTTGTTGGTGTTTTTCTTTCATGTTTGTCTTAGCCGCTGCATCTCTAATCGAATTTCCATTTGCTCTGAGGCCAATTTCCAATTTCATATTAAATGCATAATAAATTATATTTCGACTTGGAAGACTTTGCTGCAGCTAGGCGCAAGAAAGTGCGAGAGTGGGAAGGTGCAATTTGCTAACATGGCTCACATATACATACATACATATATGTTGTATGCATATTAAAGGAGCAGCTGCTACACAATCCGGTATATGTTCGTGCCAAGGCTCTTTTCCATTGAAGCACACTCACATACATATTCATATACGGTAACAGACACTACTGCCTACCTTGGTCGCCTCAATTATGATTTATTGTATATTTTACTGCTGTTTTTACACTTTCTTGGATTTACTTACTTTCTGCTATTAAGTGTATGTACATGTATATGTAAGCATGTATACCAACGTAGTTGACATAAATTCGTAAGTGCATAAATCGACTTGATTCGATTTGATTTTTTTTGTAAGCATTTACTTTAATTTAATATTTATGATCACATGTGTGTGTGTGTGTTGTAGAATATTGTAATTTATTTTAGAAAATATTTTAAATTTTTTGTTTTATTTATTTTGCTTTCACTTACTTGTTGGAAGTGGCCCACATTTAGCTTCTTCCTTGAAGGTGCAGAACTTTTGAAGATCGTCAAAATAGAGTCCGGATGGACAACGATTCAGGTATGGGTAGCCATCAACGCACTAAAAATAAATGGAAAATTGAGTTTAAATATTTTTATGGATGTAAGTAGATTCGAATAAAAATTAAGAAAATGTTTTATTGCAGTTAGATTTTGAAAAAAGGAATTTAATTGGAAAAGTTAAATAACTGACATAGCAGATATTGTTTCCTAAATGCAAGTATTGAAGTATTTAAGGAACCAATGGAATTTTTTCATTTTGGCAAACACAGAAATTTTATGCGGCATACGGACATAAGTATGTATGTATGTATGTGTCAAAACGAGTTTTCCGCTGTCAAACATGATCTACATAGGTATGTACATATGTAGTTACATAGTTCGAATTGCGGTGGGAAAAAATGTTTCTCTGATAAAAAAACAATGAGTTCAGTAAAGGTTTTCCTATTTAATAATAAAAAAATATATGTATCTTCGGAGCTGCAGGGAAAGAACAAATGAGTAGTCCACTTGCAAAGTGCTCTATATAAAATTTTTTCGATTTTTAGTTTTTGGTGGTTAACGTACCAGTATTTAAGAGAGTTTCATGTCCACTAACAATACAGTGCAAAATCCTTATATATTGTGAAAAAAAAAAATAGCATAAAATGTTAGCTACTCTAGCAAAAGTCGCTACAATACTTACTGTACATATGTATATATACGCTTTCAAAAGTCGCTATAATATTTATTGTACGTATTTATACAAGTTCAAAAGTCTCCATCTTCTGATGATCTAAGAAAACTGCAAGAAAACGTGGTAGTTTCGGTGCCTAGTGGAAGACGTCGTAAAAAAGAAGTAGACCAATCTTCATGGAAGGAAGAGAAAACGCGAAAAGCTAAAAAAAGCTAGCTATGTAAAAGTTACATATAAAATTTGCAAAAACTACCACACTTCTATATTGTTTTTTAATGTTATTAGGCTCTTTTTTATCCAACAATAAAAAAATATTTATTCAGATAATAAAAAAAGATACAATTTGGATTTTACTTGTTGTTGTAGACGTTTTTCTTTAATTTATGGCTTACTATTATAAAATCACATAAGGATGTTTACAAGTGGGCTACTCAAATAACTTACATTATTTTCTTTTTACGAAGGAGTACAAGAAGCATAAATGAATTTTCATAGAAAACCTAGCAGCATTTCTGACATAGGCATCACCAATAATAAATTTAAAATTAATCAGACATTGCAAACATACGCTTCGCTCGGCGGACGAGTCTTTGGATATTCTACTCGTCTGGGTCAGAGGAACATATTCTTCCAGCCACAGGAACATAAAAGTGCTGACGAATTGGTAAAGGCTCGGGCATCTGTTGAAGGATTAAATTCTCTACCTGGAGTAAACATGAGCGAAAACCTGCAAAAACGCAAGGAATATGTGGCCTTAATTCGAAAAATCAAAAAGAGAATAATTCTTAAAGAAGTCGAAAATGTTAAGTTGTATAATAGTCACGATCATTTGTCACTGGTTACATATATATTTAGATTTTGCAGAGAGAGCGCATCAAAATGATGCTTAAAGGGCTAAACTGGTATCGGGCCAATGCTCAGGCAACGATACTATCCACCAAACAACCGCAGCCGGTAAGCATTAACGGTAATATTTTAGCCTAATGCAATCCTGGTTAGCTGCAAGTCAGCTATGTGATGCAATTTAATGATGCGTTACACAAAAGTAGCAAAATAAGTCAAAGTTCTATTGAAAGTTTATTTGAGGGTACAGAAGTTGACAGTACGATTTCCGGATTTCTAATGATACAATGAAAGCTTCAAAACTGCTTTTCCCTTAGAGGCCAAGAATAATGCATTAAAAGAGAAGCCTTAAGAGTATTTTACAAGAAAAATACGAAAAAGAAAGACAAAACCAATTTTCACATCGAAAAATGCGAGTGCACTGAAAGCATCATATTTGATGGCTGGTGGTATGGTGAAGAAGTGATCCTGCTAGCTCCAAAGACATTTGCCTTGAATTTATAGGCAAGGCTGCGATTAAAAGGATAGCGCTGGTGGCTCTTTTGGTTACTATCGTCACTCGGCGCATTGAGGAAATGACAGGGGACATTCAGACAAAATTTGTGGAGAGAATTAATGCATCACCATGCACGTTGATGAGTCTACAAATATTGACAAAGATGAAATATTCATTTTAGAACTACTGCCATGTTAGAGTCTAGGGTGCCTATTGTAAATTTAAAATGGAAGTATTGAACTGCAACTATCAACAACTGCAGTATTATTTTTAGTTGTTACTCATGTGCCTAGTTAAAACTTAATAATTTATTTAAAACATACCTGATAGAATCGTCTGCAGGTGGCTGGATCGGCATAATTGCCATTCGCAATGCTTGAAGGACACTGGTATTCCTCTTTCTCTTTTTGTGCTACAAAGAAGGAAATAAATATATGTATAAATGTGGATATATGTAGATATGCATTTATTTTTTGTAATTAAAAAATATAATTTTCTGAAATAATTTCAACTCTTTTCCCCCTGAAATTACAAAAATCTCAAGAATGCTCTTTAAATAATCAGCCTCATCATGAGTTTCATATTCACCCGAAAAAGGTTACCTTCTCTTTAGCCTTTGGAAGGCAACATTTTTCGTAGAAACGAAAACGGCATAAGTGAAGAACGAAAAGCATTGGGAAAAGCAGAACGTTTCTCATTGCAGTTTTGTTCAGATTTTAACTCATTTCCAGACATTCTGCCAAAACGATATTCCACTCGTTAAATTAACATAAATATGCCTTCTTACAAAAAAAACATCGATTTCACAAAATCATCCACGATCATTAATACACTAACTAGCTTTCGTATTTCAAGATCGTCGCGTAGTCAAAGCAATAATTGTTGCTTTGCAATCGTTTCTTACCCATATGGCCGAGCTTATTAAATTTGCCGTACGCGTCTTGCTGATGCCCTACAAATGGGCGCATATTATATATAGATTCCTCAGATATCAAAAAAAAAAGCGCAGAAGTCAAGCATAAGGATATTTTGAGCTGTAGCAAAAATTATTTTGAATAAGTTTATTTAAAGATTTGAGATGAAATGCGATTTACATCCGCAAAAGTCTCCTTTGTATCCGCCTCCTTTTTCAATGAACTGACAACATACATACATATGTGCAGTACATATGTACGGGTATGCACACAAGTACATATTACGAATATGAAGAACTTTAAAGTTTCTTCAGTTGTGCTGGATATAGCTCAGGGATTTCTTGCCGGTGGCTTCGTAAAGCTTCCATGCAATGCATTGAAAATTTCTTGAAGAACTATGAAAACTTGCCCGTTGCTATACGCTTTATATCTGAGGGTATTTTTTGTGTTTAGTTATAGTAACTAAGAAACTGTGCCTCTTTGTGTGTGCGTGCGTAATATATGTATTTGATTACAGCATATTTGGTTAGCTAAAACGTAAGTATTCTGTAATTTGAACCCAATGGTAAAAGTTAGAAATGTTGCATGTTGAATTTTTTCATTCACTATAAAAATACATATTTGGTCCAAGGAGATACTTGGAGATCTTGCTGGCAATGTAAAAAAAAAATTAAGAAAATAATTTTATTTCAAGGATAATATTAGAAATTCTGCGCAGAACTCATTTTCTCATGACTTTTAGAAATTTGAGTTTTATTAGTTTGAAGAAAAAATAAAATTCTACGTTAGTCTAAAATTTTTAGAGCGGAAAATAGATGAAAGGAAATGCTGCTAACTTTTCCGGGTTTTATAACACTTTTCGCGATTTTTTCGTGAATTTTCTTAACCTTTTTGGGATGTTTCAAGGCATTTTCGGATCGGATAGGGTTTTTATGATCTATTGTGGTTAGATATTTCGGAAGTCCATTATAATATTTCATTGTAATGGAAGGAAAAAATCACGCAGAATGTTTGAGTTTTGGAAGTTTTTGTAATTCTTAATATTTTCACAAAACTTCGGGAACTATGTAGACTTTATAGAGTTATTCGCGTATTAATTTTCTGGATCTTTCGAGGTTTTTTTCGGAATTTTTAATGACCTTTCGGGAGGTTTACCATTTTCTTTTGGCAGATTTCGGCATTTTCCAGTTCAAAATTTCTTTTAAATCTTGCATTTGATTTGAAAAAATACGCAAAAATAAAATGCAAAATTAAACCGGTTATTTTGTAGTCAAAAAACCTCAGAAAAATTTTGACTCTATGTTTTGTTTTTTCCTGTGTAAGGAATACGCGTGTAACTTTTTGAGATTCTTCGGCATTTTTTTTGAGGCATTTTTCGTATTCTCGGGACGCATCGCCAGGTTTTGAGATGTTCGCGGGATGAATAGTAAGTTTGGTTTCTAATAGTGAGACAAATCTTAAAAAAAAAATCACTTGTTCTTCTGCTGAAAAAAATATATCGATGGTCCTGTGCAATAACGACACAATTAAAATTAAAAAAAATAAAAACTGTTACTACTGTTAAGTGGCTCTTATCCTTGCCGTATCTATGTCTAATCTTTAGTACTTATTTAAGCAATCTTTACTGCTTACTTTAGTAAGGGATGGAAATGGATTAGGCAAGGATTAGAGGCAAGAGCGACTTAACAGAAGCAACAGTTTTTTTTTAATTTGAATTAAGTCGTTAATGCACAGGGCCATCGATATGTTGAAAATTTTACCTTTTGTTTACTTTGCGCAAAAAAAAACAATATAAAAAGATTTTTAGGTTTTCATGTCAAAGGCTTATTAAGTTTTGGTTTGTTGCCGGATCGTGAAAGCCTATCATTGAATTGACAGGTGTCTACGTAACTTATCAACTTGGTTATACGGGCAAAAGAAGGCTATATTCACAACTTGTAGAGGCAGAAGTCGCAGGGGAGGATTTACGGTCTATCAGCTTGCCTTAAGCCTATCTTGGATGACTTTCTAGCATACTAGACCGTTTCTCAGTTCCCGGAATACCACTGTGTCACAGGGTTTCATGAACGCATATCGAATTAGTCATAACCGAATCTAGAGTTTTAGTAGCGAACGCAAGTTTAGCTGGAGCTAGATCGATCAGGCTCACCAGTTTTTTCGTCATGTCTATCGCATATATTCTAGCTGCAGTAATCTGAGAGTTTGTATCTCAAAGACAATTTCTGAGAGAGGACGACCGATCCCATTCGAATGTTCATTTTAGGAGCAATTTGTGAATATCGAGATTTCGCCATCGGTTAGAACATTATTATTTTCCCAGGCACTATTGCCTGGAGGCTGAATTCCGAAATTGCGGTCGAAATCCTGGACCTGATAGTCCCTGCTTCTGTACTCCACTCCAAGAATGGAAGAATGACGCTTGTACGTTGTTCAACCGGTAAAACGAGCTAAGTTGTAGAGCACTTTTAGCTGCAGCACTTTTCACGTACATATATTTCCATAGGTGAAATGTCTCGGGGTGTCTCTGATGCCGCCTGGGGTGCAAAGCAAATTTCTCCCATTCTACATACACATATAGATGTACTTTTAATAACACCTTTCACAGATTGGTTAGATAGGATTTGTATTAACCGCCTCCTACTAAACCACCACGCCCAAAGGTGAGAATAGGTTATTTCATATTGCAGTACTCTCAAAGGCTTTTGCACTATTTTGTAGCTGGCCATTTGATAATTGGCATTGCAAAAAATCTTAATTTATTTGTTAAATATATATAATTTAACGCAACACCAGCTGATTAGTAACAAACTGATTGAAAATGTAGCTAAAAGTAGTGAATTGTGTGAGCAGTTCAAAAAAATAAAAATTTATCGTGGTTGAGCGGGCAATATTACCCTTTCAACATGAAACAGTTGCTGCGCTTTTCTCGAATTATTGCAGTTAAAGACTTGGGCACGCGCTCTTAATAGTTATTGTTATTGGTGTAGTTGCCAGTGTTGCCGCTTTCGCTGTTGTTTTTGCAAGCGCCTTTTCAGCTGCATAGCCTTGGCCAATTTGGTTGTTTGTCGAAGTTTTTGCGCGCAAATGCCTGGAAGCGCAACAAATGTTGACCAACCGGTCGCATTTACCCTTTTTCCTGCACGCTTTGCAGTTTGTTAAAAAAAAAAAACTTTTTTTTCCTTGTACTCGAACATTTCGTACAAACATGTGAGCGTCCTTATTTTTTATTTGTTTTATTTTTTTGGCCAAACCAATTTGTGCAATTTTCGTAATTTATCCGAGGGAAAGTTTAGGTTTTGAACTTACTAAATGTTGAAAACATTTTTGAGCATTAATTTAAGTTCGTTTCTTTTGGTTTTTTTTCGTGCAAATAAAGAATGCATTTAGCTAAAAGGTGGTATTAGTAAGCAATGTAGGTCAGCGCTTTGGCGGTTTGCGGATAGAAAAGCTGGCCTGGGGGGCCATCTACATACATATGTATGCATGTACATACCTAAGTTTGTGAACGTTGATTAGTGAAAATGTTCAAATATTTAATTTTCCTGTTTGAATCAACTTTCAATGCTGGCATACATATGAACATACATTTTACTGCACTACGTTAGGTAAGTAATCGTGAATATTTCTAATGCCACCTGCAGCGTTTGGCAATGCTTTTGTTTGGCCACCCCACTTTCACACATTCAATATTTACACACACACTCCTCCGCCTGCCATTAACTTTCGATGCTGGCATCCGGTCAATAAGCACACACACACACACACACTTACATATGCATAGTACACATCATGCATTATTACTCTGAATGCGCATACACCTGCATAAATACATGAAATTTCATTTATTTAATTGGTTGAAGCTGTTTAGAAAATGTATTTGAATTTTTAATTCGCTTTCCGCCACCTATTTTGCAATTTTAATAATGTTGAATTGTTTTCGAATTTTCGACTTGTCGAATGAGCTGCCAGCCACTTGGCCTAGCGAATTGGTTTACATACTAAATAATTTTATGCTAATTATGCATCGGTGTTTATTTACTTTTGTCGTTTTAAATAATTACAGCTGTTGTGGAAATTGCTTTTCCCAGCCAACCACTTCTCCAATTGCTTCTGCAGTTTGTTTTTGTTTTGTTTTTTGTATTTGTGTTTTTTTTTTTGCTTTTAGCGACGCAACAAAGCTAATTTCTGGGAAGCCTTGATTTAGCAAAGTGAATATTGATTTAGTTTAAATTAATGTTGCAAGAAAATATGTAAATAGTAATAATAATACCACAAAATGTTTATTAAAATTAAAAGCGCACTACTATACATGAATGGTGTTTTTATTAAGTGTGCTTGATAGTTTAGTAGTAGTTTTTATGTATACAAATACGGCACTAATACAAATGCAATAACAAATCAGACATGCTAGTGAAATATAAAAGTTGTTATTTGCATTAACTAAAAGTGCAATTACGCAAGTGTATGTATTACAATTACATATTTACACTCATTACAC